ATAACAAGCAAATATTTTTTTCCTCCAATGTTATCAGGTGTTATCCGACCCATCAAATCCATATGAATCAACTCTAAAGGTCTAGTATTGACTTTATGAATAAGTCTTTTATGTGACACTCTAGTCTGTTTTCCTAATTGACATGGACCACATATTTCATTTTTAGGTATCTTCAATTTAGGCAAACCTCGAACAAGATCATTATTAGACAAATTCACTAAATTATTATAATTCAAATGTCCAAGTCTTTTATGCCATAAAACAGCCTCATCAGTATCTGCAGAAAAACACATAAGTGAAGGATCTGAAAACACAACATAGCAATTATCAAAAGTTCTAGTTCCTTTCAAAACACGTTCACCTTTTCCATTAGTTACAAAACACCCTTGTTGAGTAAAATTGACTTAGAACTCCTCATCATAGATTTGACTAATACTCAATAGATTAGCAGCTAAACCTTTAACATATAGAACATTTTTTAACTCCCCAATTCCTGAAAATTTGATCTTACATTTACCACTTACAGTAGAAGCTTTACCATCACCAAAAGTAACAGTCCCAAATGAATATTCCTTAAAAGTGGTAAATAATGTTCTATCCCCTGTCATATGCCTAGAGCAACCACTATCAAAGTACCAACCACATGGACCAAGTGCTCTAAATGTTGTGTGCCTGGGAAGGCATTTAAAATTCTCTTTCTTTACCCAAGCAATTTTAGATTCATTATGCAATGATTTTCCTATTGTTCTAGACAAAGTGTCACAAGGTTCAACAGTCCTAATCCTCTTCTTCCTCAAATTTGAACTCTTTAGATTTTTCAATTTCTTTCCTAGTTCAACTTTTCTTTTCTGACACTTCTACTTCATATGTCATTTTTCACCACAAAAATGACATGTTAAAATAAGTTTAGGATAATTAGAAATAACATAAGGCTTGGTTTTATCTTTCACAAAAACATCTTTTGATTTTTGAAAATACAAATCCTTAGAAGTTGATGCCAAATCTTTGTTACTCCTTACATTCTCAACCACTCCTTTCAATTTATCAATTTTGAAAGTGTCAATATCAACTCTAAGAAAAGATTCCTTTGATTTAACAAATTCACTACTCAAATTATCAATTTTAAGTTCCAGTGATTTATTAAACAAATTTACCTTCTTAAGTTCATTTTCCAGAAAATTAATTTTATGAAGAAGATACAAATTCTTATTAGAGACAGAAACTTCTAACTTATAAATATTTCTATCAAGTTCCGCAAGATTCAATTTCTCTAACAAATTTTCAAAATCCTTTTTAAACTTTGACCACTCAATTTGCATGCTCATGACAGAATCAAAAACAGGAATTAAAGGTAACACATCAACAGATGAATTTTCAGACATGATGCAAAAATCAACAAATATGATTTACTCTGTATATCGAGTAACCCGCTCTGATATCAAATTGTGAAACAAGAGTTACGCGGGGTGCAGAAATAGTTAGTTGATTTCAATTGTGATTAACTCCTTTATGACCTAAATCTGATTAGTAGGTCAACTTGCTCAATTTATGATTGATTAAATTATTTGACCAATTTAAACATCCACAATCACAAATATATGAAAAGTAAAACGAGTTAGAGTTAGAGAGATTGCACCAGAATTTTTAGCGAGGAAACCCCAGTTGATAAAATACGTCAACTGTTATGGGAAAAACCTCGTGGACTATTCAGTCCAAAGTAAACCAATCCACTATACTTGAAACAAAGTATACCGAACTTTGACTCTGACTCACACCCTATCGTTCTATACCACACCAACCGCTAACGATCATTTGGCTTTGCGACTCCCTATCCAACAGCAACTTGATCTCAGGCTTACACTTGATATTTGTATAAGAGTAGCAGGTAGATCAGACAGTACTCCACGAATGCTCCGACCCTTTCATAGTGTGATTGCGTTATTTCTTTTCTTCAAGATCTGAACTTGATTGTAGAAGAATTAAATCATGCTCTTCATTCGAAATATCGGAATCTTCAATATAGCTCTAATTCCGATGAGATAGAGAACAACACCACTAAATCACTCATGAATATATGTGTATGCTCTCATAAATAAATTCAGAATAATCAGATTTGATTTTCTGAATTTTCTCTCTCTAAAAGGCTTTCTCAAAATATAGAATTGATTTTCCCTAAAGCCATCAATAAACCAATGTATATGACAAGGTTTATATAGAGTTTTGAAAGTCCTAATCCCTCAGAAAATATGATAAATTTCGTGCATAGGTCTTAGAACAATTCTAGACCAACTAGGAGAGAAATCTGTAACAGGAAACTAAAGTTTTCATAGGCTATCAGGACTCTTGAACTTGTTCAAAGAATTGGGAACAGGTTCAAGAATGGTAGAATGTTTTTCGAGGCCAATGTTGGACTCTTGAACCTGTTCAAAGAATTAGGAACAGGTTCAAAGATGACAGAATGATTTCTAGGCCAAATTCAAATGGCTTGAACCTATTCCAAGAATCATAAACAGGTTCAAGTCTGCCAGACCTGATTCCTAAGGTTCTAGGCACTATTTTTGGTATATTCTGAAACTTACTGTAATGGGTATGATTATATATATTTATATTAAAGTTATAAAGTTTTTTTTTTTAAAAAAAAAAAAAAAAGCAAGTGGGCCCCACCAATGTATTAAAAACACCACAAAGGGCATAAGGCCATTTCACATACCGTTTCTCTCTCTCTCTGCATCTCTGTCCAGAAGCTTCCCTTTCTTTTCTTTTTTTTTCTTTTCCAATTTCAAGCTTTGATTCCTCCTCCCATATTTGGAATTTTTAGGTGCCATTTACGGCAAATCGAAGAGCACGGCGAGCTCTACGTGTGAGTACCAATAATTTCAGTTTTGGTGCCCTCTAGGGAGTTCAAAATTCTAGGGTTCTTGGGCTCCAATTGGGGTTTTTCTCAAATTTGAGGTAAGGGTGTTCTAATCTACAATTTCTTGGCCTTTGGTGAATTTTTCCTCCTAAATTTGATCCTAAACATGCTAAATTTTAATTACTTAGCTTGTTGTTATTGTAGTTCTGTATAATTACAATGATAATTGTGTTCCATGTGTTATTTGAGTTCATATACATGTCTATTTTCATTACGGTAAATGAGCATGCTTAGTGTTTGATGTGTTGAATGTTCCATGATTATTTATTTATTTATATATTTATTTATTGTCTTGAAGAAAAATGGGTGCTATGGTTATAAATACATAAATAAATAAAGGAAATGAATGTTTAGAAATTTTCATTAAATTGTTATGATGATGTAAATGAAAATGTGTGAAAACATATAGTTAAATTAATGATTTGAAGCATGAAGCATTCATGCATCCATTGGGAAAGAGAAAAGGGGAAAAATATTTGTTAGAACAAATAAAATTGTTTTGGGGAAAATATTTTCTAAAAGTGTTGCGAAAACCGGACGCCTAGGAGGCGCCTAATGGTCCGTGATGTTGGTGTAATATAGAAGGGAATGTAGTTGAGTTAACTAGGCTGGATGCGACGCCTTGGAGGTGCCTTGTGGTCGTAAATAGTTAACCAACCCTCCTTTCGTAACGCCATGGAGGTGCCTTGGGTCGGACTGCACTAACGGTTTGGTATTTGAAACGGAATTGTTTCGGAAATGGGGAATGACATTTGCATAACATTGCACTTCATGACATTGTGGTAAATTTGTGATTGGTTGATATTTGTTACATACTTGTTATTGTGATTGAGAATGTGCGTTTCCCGAAGGCATGATCCCGTTCACTTTTTATCTATTCCTTGTATGGATTCACGGGGACATAAGAAGTGTGTCTTAGACACTTCCTACTGAGCTTATGCTCACCCCATTTTTTTTAACATTTTTTAGGATATGGAAAAGAGGTGGCGGACGATGATCCACCACAAGTTTAGACCAGCTTGGGGATTTATTTTATTTTTGCTATCTTTTGTATTAGAACTTTGATATATATTTTGTAAATGTAAACTTAAATATTTTGTGAAACTTTAGTTTAGTTGATATAATGTTGTAAGCTATGGACTTTAAAATTTTAGCTACAATTATGGACTGTAACTTGAAATAACGGATGTGTCCCTTGTTTGGATGAGATGAAAGAACGGGACTTTTGTATGTATGTAACCATTTTGGGAATGTAGTATAATATCTGAATTGTATGTTGGGACAGAATAAGTTAGATTTAAGGCCCATTGAGGCCATTGCATTTATTTTTGTATTTTTACAGGTTGTTGAGCAACATTTTCTGTGGAGGTCATGCCGAAATTTTTATAGATTTTTATTATTATTTTGGTATCTTTTCGGGTCGTTACACTTACCAAATATGAAATGTGTCCTAACCTTTTTAGATTTCTTCATAACATGTTGTTCTTCCTTTTCTGTGATGATCGCAGTTATAGCATCTTTGAACAACCTTTCAATTCCGCAGTCGCTGTTGATCCCGATATAGTAACTTGAAATTACAACTCGACTAGAACTTGTTTTGCCATCGAAAGTTGCCAATTACAGTATATATATATATTTTTTACAATCTTCCCAAAATATATATATATATATATATATATATCTCACATAAACAACATTCTATAATTTTCAGATTACCTTCTTGATGAAATTACACTATGATATTAGTATATTGACTTTGAGTCATGAGTTAACTATTATCTTATTCCGAGTTTGAGGTTTCTTTGTGTTTTTGGAAAGAAAAAAAAAAATCCAGATATATAGCACAAATGGTACCAGGTAAACACAATAAAAAATATAAAAAAACACGTATTAATGATTTGAGATATGGTAAAGAACCATTGTAGACCTAATTGTCTTGGAATGATTTTATATTTGGAAATTAAAAAGCCCAAACCCCCTCTCTTTATATGTAACTCGTGTGTGTGTGTGTGTATTTCATTTTACTTTTTCCAATTTTTTTTCCTCCTACAATTACAATTAAGGGTAAAAATATAGATGCAAAGAATTCAAATCAAACACAAAACATTTTATTTATCAGTGCCATCTCACAACATTCCTTTCAAAAATTGAACAACAACATAATGAAGTACATGAAAGCAAAAAAATGAAAAATGAAAAGAACTTATTTGAAGTATCAATCATGGTCACGCCAAATGATCCAGTTATTCCACCAAACTATAACATGTATAGGCTGTGTATACGCTTCCCTGTTCTTTTCTGTGTCATCATCTATATATATATATATGTAGATGTATATATTTATGAGCGACGAGGCAAAGGAACCGCGAAGAACTTCATCAGCCCCTCCTTGCAGTTCTTGCCATCCTCTTCTCCACAAGCGAAGTAAAGCGGCCTCCAATTATTAGTGAGCACAAAGCCAAAGCCATCACCACTTCCTTGTGTTACATTTGCCAACAACTGTGCACTCCTGAAATCGCAGTTTATGAAGCTCCCCAGGTTTGGCAGCAAGTACACTGTGTGAGGTGGGCTGTTCTCGCTTGGTGGATCATACTTGAATACTGATCATCACAATTACCACAACAATGTCAAACCAAAGGTTATTGCATGTACATATAAGGTCAATATTAACTACTCCGTGACACATGCACTTGGGGCGGCAGCAAATGAACCTAGCCCAACTTCAGTTTGTTCGGATTTGGGCTCGGCATGTTTAACAATAATAATAATATGAGAAATAAAAAATAAAAAATAAAAACCTTGATATCATTTTCCTGAACTTATACAAGTTTATATTTATGAATGTATTCATGAACATATGCAATCTTACACAAGCTAAGCCTAGACGAGACTAGCTACTCGTTTATGTACTTTTTGAAATGTTCATGAACAAATAGGTTCATTTGCATCCGGTTGCACATGGAACCTAATATTAACTAGTCTTGATGACTAATGTATATGTGTGCGCATGCATATACTGACCTAGTTTATCATTTTGGTAAAAGGGGCCATGTTGAAGAGCCCAGTCGGTGTAGTTAAAGCCGTAGCGCCAGTGCTCCGACCCTCCCACGACAACAGTGGCCGCCTGGCTAGCTGCCAACATGGAGGCTGCAGCGGCTAGGAGGACAAGGAATTTTGCATAGCTGAAAGCCATTTTAGTTGTCAAATTGGGGAGTGAGGAATTAAAGCAGAGTGCAATGAGATGGTGGCAATGAGCATTGGCTTGTGGGGTTTATATAGGGAGAGTTTTGGTGTAATAAGGTCTAATTATTCAAACACCACCTTTTTCTCACTTTGGTTGGCAAAAAAAAAAAAAAAAAATGTGGATGGATTTTGTTGAAAATGATCATATTGTTCAACTCTAAACTTTGGTGCTTAAGACCTCAACATAGTTTAACTCGGTTTAGAAAGTGTTCATACAATCTCAGAATGTCATTAAGGCCCTTCTTGAGCTAGCAATACTACAAGACGGAATGAAGGGTATAATGGGAATTATATGGGTTGACAGAGTAAATTTCGTCATCCCTTGTTTGGTAACTCTCCATTAAGAACAAGAATAACATGGGGTGGCTATAATTATTACTTACCAATTAAAGTCGGTCAAAACAACTGAGAAATGGGTTGGTAAACAGATCTAGATGGTTTAACGGTCCACCATGGGCACATCCCTTTCTCACTTGCAATTTTAGTCCATCAGCATTAAAATTCCATACTCACATGCATCACAATGCCGCCAAAACTTCCTTCTCATTTGAAAACCAGTGAAATTTGACAAGGCCACAATAACAAATACCCGATAAAATACGCACCATTCCTTCCCTGGGACATTGAATTAGATAATCAAATAGAATTTTGATTTAAACAACGATGTCCCAATACCTTAGATATATAATTAACAGACCTGCAACTATACTTACCCGAAAAAAAACCGGACCTGCTACTAATTCTAGGGCAAAACCTAAATATTCAAATACATAGCAATGCAAATTATCAACTTTGCACTTGGATCCCAACAAAATGAACACTCAAGCTCAAGCAGCAACAATATCCACGCATATCATATGATCGAACATTCATATTACATACAATAATTATACCCGGTATTATTACACAGTATAACTTTAGAGGTTCCTATGCTAATATACAACATATACTGTTGGATTACTAATCATGGAAATACAACACATGCCATTCACCACGCTATTTTGAAGAGATGGCGCGTATATAAAACATATGAGGAGTAATGAACACGCTAACTTTCGAGTCATCCAAAAGACTAGTAGCATGAGGAGTTACATATTTTGGAGTTCTTGAATAATGTTCCTTGCTCTACCAAGAGGGTTAGTGTGATAAACTTCTCTAGCCCATATATTTTGCATTTGAGGCATCACCATATCCATTTCCATACAGCGTTTCTCAAGCTGTTCGATAGCAGTTGAATCCATCAGAGTACCAACAACAGTCTGCCAAAGCAAAAGAATAAGCATCTCATTAATCCATATTCTAAAATGAGTAGTATAAAATAGAAAAATGCGATAAATCAGTTTTCATAGTCGACATGAACAGCCAAATCGAATAAACAAATTCTTGGTCATCAAATTTGTGAATCAGCAATCTTATAAACTAGATTCCCATCAATAGGAAATAATACTGTCAACGGGTTGTGTATTTTGGACAGTAACAAAGCATTTCCAATGGATATGTTTATATTTTTCACAGCATTTTAAATGAGTATATCTTGTTCCCAATACTAAAAACTGATGCTATTTTATAGTTTCAATAAAAACAAACTCTATTTTGTTATTTATAGTGTTGGAAAGACGACCAATAAATCCACTTCATGTGATAGCCAGGTAAACTCAAAACTTTCAAACTTTCAGACACTACGAAATTGAAATTTTGTTGTTAATATTCCGTTTCCAGCTGGTGGCTATAAGCATCATATACTTGTTTGTACTTCTGGCTGGGGCTGTAATAAACATAACCATGTTTATATCCAATTAAGAACTTACCCAAAAGGTGCCCAAGCAAGCATTGAGGAATATGAACTTGAGAAGGTCTTCATCCCAGCTGCTTAAGACATTATCTAACCCAACAGAAAGTGTAAGATCCTGACATGAAGAATCAAACAAGAATCCATAGTTTTTCGCTATAACTCTGCCGTGCCTTCTCAACATTTTGTCTACTCGATGAACAGTGGGGCTGCAGGCATTGTGTTTTCCCATCTGCTTTGATCTCCCGAAACTTCTTCCAGGAGCTTTATGTTGGGTATCTTCATGGAGCCGCAGCAAGGTTGCCGCTCTTTCACTATTAGCCCAGCAACAACACAAGGATGACCCATCATCTACACATACAAATGAGAAATAATTTAGAACCACATGAAAGTAGCAATAATGACAATACTAATAAAATACATTTACATACTAATTACATGATGCGGACTCTATGAAGGGATTTAAAAAATAATATATGGTGAAGATCAGTGCCTCCTAGTCATTGCAATTGTGAAGATGGCCCAAACTACAACTTAATTTTAATTTCCTTCTATCTACAATGATTAGCAAAGCTGATACCACTATAGCTTGACAGGTATGCTTCATTGTGTGTGTGTGTGTGTTACTCTGCTTGCATTAGAACAAGGGGAAAAAATATTCGTCAAAACAAGAAGCGGAATAAACACAGAGCAGGTTTTAGAATTAGATAGCAAGAGCGCTCAAGTAGTCAAAAATTTGATAGCACCTTTTTACAAGACTACCTCCACCACAAATATTATTTTCATATATATATATATATATATATCTACGGGAAGTTGGTAACATAGACAGAGGAACACACCAAGTACAAAACCAGCAAGAGGTATATTAACCACAGCAGAGCTCAAGTTAATCCCAGACTGGGAATAAATGACTTCTTTGTTCTTCTCAAGTACCAGGATATAAACAGCTACAACCTGTCGAAACAGGTGACATCTAAATTTAAAAGCCAAAAATTTGCATAATAAGAATTTACATCTGGTAAGCCACACGGAGTCTGACAAAGAAAATGAAAACAATGAGGAGCTTGAGATTTTACAGATTGAACTGACTCACTCGACAATGAAACTGTATTGGCTTACTCTCCAACTGCTGAATTATTTCGGAAATCAAACCTGAAGGAACAGTATCCAAAAATTCAGGACTGTCTAACCCTGAAGCAACTGATGGATTGCAAAAATTGTCAGTGTAGTGGTCATTGACCACCCTTATGGAGTTGATTACGATGAAAGATGCAGCTGTCAACATAAGTTCATTCTGCCTACTAGGAAAAAAAGAAGATTTAGTCAATTACATGGGAAAATATCTTAAGGGGAGCCTATATTTGTATGAAATATGTATGGAGAACATTGTAATACATTGAAGAATAGGTATAATATTGCAACTGAAAGTTGGCAATGCAAGTATACACTGTGCACTTGGATGCTGATTCTGACCAAGGTGAATATTGTGTCAGTATTAAAAAAAAATTTTGCAATTCCAAGTCAGAAATAGTGAGTATGCCTAAGAGCAAACTGAAGCAATAGTGTGCATTGAAATTTTAAAGGAGGTAATCGATTTCAGGTTTCAAAACAAATATTATATAGAGGTGGTGACATTCCATGAATTTTAGTGAAAAATAAAACTAGAAAATGGAGGGAAAAAAACAAAAAAAAAAAAAAAAAAGGTTTCACGTTCAAGGATAATCACCTACTTATATGAGAATTCACTTACCTCAATACAAGAATTCTGTGAAAGGTTGCATTTGCACCTGGTCCAAATCCGATAAGATAAGCATGTTTACTTAGAGCACCAGAAACCCGCACCTAATTGATTTGGGAATTGCAATAAGTTACCCAAATTTATATAAATATGAAAGTAGAACAGGAGAATATGGTAAAGCTGGCACCTACAATGCGATGGCCTGCCAAAACAAGGATACAGACACTGCTGGTTACTCCTTGAAAGGATTTATCCTGGGGAACATCTTTAGAGATTTCGCTCAAGTTTGCAGCAAGAGAACTGCAATCAGAATTATGAACAGCTACCACATATCCATGCAAAGATATTAAAGTTCCCTCTGGCAACATGTAATCAGAACCAGAAGTTCGACAAGATTGCACTGATGCAGTGACCAGGGTCCCAGTGCACTGAGAAATATTACCCACCTCTTCAAGTGAGAAAGATGGCTTGACCAGACCATCTTCCAAGACATTGATAGCATCAGTAGGGAGATAAATATGGATATCTGAAAAGGTTTTAGGACAGTCCTCATCAAATCTCAGGAGTGGTACTTCAATTTGATGAGATCCTTCAGATAGAATCTCATTGTTGCTGACACATGAATCATTAAGTGAAAGAATACGTGATAGTCTGGTATCTGAGAGAACCTCATCAGAATAGAATGAAAGGCTCCATAGATTTGTTCTACCAGTGATAACTATGTTACCACCACTGATATAATTGGAGTCACTACGAGGGCACATTGTGTCTTCTTTGTGGTGCTTTATGATGTAATAACCACCAATTTGCAGCAACTGCAATTTAGATGAAGATGAACTCAAGTAAAATTGTAATGTAAGTGGAAGAATTAAATACGGTACTACCATCACCCTAAAGGGCCTAAACTAATTAGGTAAGGCAAAAACGAACTAATATTACACACCTGATACTTGCAAAAGCTATCAGACGTGAACTCCAGTAATACTTTCCTTGCATTTGATTTGTAACCAGCACCAACCTTTACATTAGATTTTCTGCAATGCAAGAATCCTGAACTAACCTGGCTATAGTCATGAACACTTCTAACAGTAACTAAACATGGAATTTCAAGTGAACTCAAATTACAACAATTCCAGTCCCCATGAGATTTATTGTAAACACTGGAACAACAATTTGGATTGTCACATGATCCTTTTTCAGAATTGCTCAATCCAGATGTCAGGTCAATTTTATATCTCTTACTAGAAACACATTCCTCATAATCTCTATCAGCATAATGTTCCATGGAATTTTTCAGTTGATCCACCGAGGCTTTAATTTGACGAGTATCTCCATCTTTCCCAGCAAGAAACAAATCCCAAGGCAAGACTATGGCCTCAGCAAACATGCCTGACTTGTCTAAAGTAACTTGTTCACTTTGAAACTGTGAAAATGATAAATAAATAAATATTAATTAGTAGAAACAACTACTACGCACAATGTGGTTGCAGCTTTTACTACCTTTAATTTTTTTTTCTCTTATGGAGCAGGGGAAGGGTTGCTCAATGAGATAACAGACAAAATATATTATTTGCAGCAAATACGAATAGATCAGCAATACATACAAGAATACAAAAGGCACAAACCTTTTGTAGCAGAGGAAATTTGTGAGTCACCCAAAGCAAGTGATATCCACCACTTTCAAGCTCCTCAAAGTTTCCCTTCCAATTTATGGAAGGATAGAATAGACTATTGCTAGATTTTCTGCTTCTCAAATAGAAATGAAGATAAATTGCTAATTTTATCTCTCTCGCTAATGGAACCCAATTGAAAATACTTCTACACGAGAATGAGTCCTTGAAGAGCAATCCTAAATGTCCAACCTCTTCATGTTTTCCTTCTGTAACAAGAGTGAAATCATTTACCTGAAAATGAAACGCAAGCTTAGATCAATAGCAGCAACTAAAATTATGTCAAACAAATACCTTGCACCTTAAGTAAAATTCGAGGCAGATATCATAAGACCGAGAAAATGATGACACCATCATCACCTGATATATGCTATTAATACTCCAAGTTGATGAAAGGTCTGGTATGACAACATCAATGCTGCCAGTCGCGTCAGTCAACTGCAACTTTCCAGAAGATTGGGAAATCTGAATGAACAATAAATAACCTTTACTCGATCTGTTAAATTTTTATGCATAACCTATGGTATCATCTTTCATCTGCAGTAGTACATTCCTCGACCTGATCAATGCAAATATTTAGAATAAACTTTTAATTTTTATATAGCAGTATCTCTCCTCTTTTCCATAGTTACCTAAACCTTTGGGTCACTGTTGTCCTGTGTCTCTCTCCTCACATCTTCCACATTACTACCCTTGTTCAACCATACATGTACATGCTTTTCTTCCATATGCACACCCACTTTTTATATATGAGAAAATACAGCGAAATAAATTGTGTAATTTTGTTGCAAAAGTAGTAATAATAATAATAAATAAAAAATAAAAAAACCCTTAGATACTAACCTTTAAACTTCCAAGCAAAACAACACCGACATCTTCACTTTGGAGAAACCTTCTGAGTGGCAGATCAGAAGATCTCCCTTCACAGGACAGGAAGCTATATTGGTTGCCGTTACAAATTAAATCACAACCATTCTTCTTTTCTAACAGCAATCTTAACCAAGTTGTCTCACAATGACTAACAAAATTAGAAATCGGCACCACCTAATGAATGGCATCAACAATAAACCTTTAGTTTTCACTCATTTAGAAATCCCAACTCGCTATAACAATGTTATATGGCTGTATCTCCCAGATTAAATGAAAATAAAAAGAAGATGCAGTTTATAAAATCACAGAATTTCCCACGAACTCATCGCACTAAACTCACCAGTTTCAGGTGACCATAATTTGGTTCACTGCCACATCCACTTGAGTGATGCTTACAATATTCTGCAAGTACCCCTTGCTGCCAAAAAAAAGTTGAATATGAAAAGGTGGCAACAAAATAGAGAAAACCATAACAATGCCATCTTTGACACATAAGATTTATCCATTTACCCGAGATCGAAATACTGATGAAGGCAAATTTGAACGAGCATATGTTTGTACCATTCCTTCCTTCTGGTAACACCTTGCAACTGTTCACATCAGCTTAGCATAACATTATGCAACAATAAATAAAAATATAAATATAAATAAATAAATAAAGGCTTTCAAAGTTAAACAAAAAACCTCATCCCAGTGCAAACTAATATTTTTTTTTTTTTTTTGCAAACAGTGCCAAATAAGTTAATAAGAGCCAAAGTGAGAAAGTTACATGTTTTGATCCTAAGATTTCCTTCTCAGACAAAATCCCATTAAACTTCTTCTTGAAACATGCAACCAGAAGTAATACCCTGAAACCCAAGCATGTAGATAAATGAGTCAATCATAAATATCTAACATGCAAACAATGTTCAGCAGCATATAATATTTCCCAACCATAATCTTGCAGAAAAAGCCAACTTGTCAATAAACTTCCCCAAAAGGCTCTGAGATTGTGTATATATACAGCACCTGCAGCACCAATATGATGATTTTTCAACATGGTTGAAGGCAATTTACTTAATAGTTTACTTAAGATAGATACAATTAAAATTCAATGCAGAAGCCCTTACACAGTTTCCATGGGGGAAAAGGATTCAACAATAATGCTAGTTTTATAGCAAGCGCCAAGTATAAGCACTTTAGTCCAAGAAAAGTTTGGATTCACAAAGTGGACATTTCTCAGAGATACCTGTGAAGAAGCCATCAATTAGAAAGAAGCAATACCATAAATTCTTGCCATCCATGCGAGATCTCAACCTACATTATACACAAACTGGACACAAAAATTTATTGAAGTGAATTCAAAGCAATGATCTGTCAGAGTAAGTTAACTTACAATAGCGCCGACTCTTAGAGAAAGTGGCGGAGTGAGTAGCTGATCTGTTACTATAAGCCACACATCTTGGTCTAACTCAACAACCATGCCCTGCATGTAAATGCCCGTGACAGTGCCAATATACGCACCACATTCACCCTTACCTTTAATTACAGTCTTCGTAGCCGGAGTCCACCGATTTTGTAACTCAAGGATTTGCAGTGAAGCTTTCTCTGTACTAACATACATCAGCTGAGAGTCTTCTTTCCCTATGTAAACCAACTTCTTTTTCAATCCCAATAGTGAAACAACATTCCCAATCAGCTTTGAAATTACAGGATACCAAGATGAAGCATACCCAGAAAAGTATACAAACACAGGTTGCCTAAAAAAATGATGATTTTTTCCTTGAAGCATGTCATTCAAATCCATTGCCAAATCTTTGGAGCTACATACTTTGCAGTCACAAACCATAATTCTAGCAAGGAAACCACGAAGATTTCCAGGACCACTGGAATTCTGCCCCGAATTGCTACGAGAACTACTAACCCCCATTGTACATGGAACAACCGAAACTGGACTAACTGACTCTATAGCACCTAGAATGCGATATCGAGCTTTGGAACTCTCTTTGCAATCAATTGAAGAACCTGAAAATAACGGAAAAGCTTCTGGCTTTGAAGAACACTGGCTGAGCCCAGCTGAAGTTTCCGGAAAACTCCATCTGATAATTTCCAAAAACCCACTGGGACATCCAAATGGAATGAAATTCCAAGCGAGAACGTGGATTTTCTTCCCGAGGATTCGAAGATCGAGCTCAAGAATGTCGCAGCATATTGTGGATGAACCATCAGAGAATAAGAAGCAGTTGGTTCTTGAGCACCGAAGAGCCGTATCTGAAGCTGAAGGGTTGTCATGTGTAGGGAGGGTTAGGGTTCCGGTGAGGATAGTCGGTTGATTCAAAGATTTGAGAAATCTAGGGTTAGGGTTTCGGTTGTGGAGATTGGGATCGACGGGACCAGAGGGTTTTAGAGGTTCATCAGACGGTCGGAGTTCGAAAGAAGAAGACATCGAACGACCGGTAGTGAGCGATGATGCACCTGTGAGTGGGCGAGAAAGCTGGAGCAACTCAGAAATTGAGACAACCTTCACTGTTTCTTCTTCCATTTCTGCTAAAATTGTGTGTATATGTGTGTGTTTATATATATACATATACATATATAGAGAGAGGCGAATGCTGGGTCTCCGACTCGACTCTGTTTTAGTGAAGACGAGTGGGGAGAGAGAGCGGGAATGAGGACGAGGCTTTTAAAACCTTGATTGGGCTTTAGGCCCAATACAATAAATCAACTTACAGCCAAGCCCAAAAAGGCACTATTTTGGGTCGGCTTGATTTATTATAAGCTGGTCCACGATATGGGCCGTTGTAATGATACTTGTTGCTCATGGATAGAACCAATTCGGGAAATTACTTGGTGCTGTGATGAAATTTGAGAATTTGAGCATGGTTGGATTAATTGGTTAAACATAGGTTTTATGAGCATTTGTTTGGGCCGTATATTGAACTTTATTCAAATTCTATATGTGAAAGAAGGTTGACTCACAAGTACAAAAACACTCTAGTTTAAATGATATGCGTAATTTATGGGTGATTGTACTTATATGGGGTTTGCAAACTATCCAAGAATCTAAAAGGGTGAAAAATTTGTAATGAAGGTGTTCTCATGAAGCTCGTGCCCACATTATATGTTGATTTGTTTATTCGCAATGAGTTAAAAAGATTTAGTCAGTCGTTTTCAATAACATAGTAAAAATGTGATTTTGATATTATTTTGCATGAGTGACTACTCTCAAAGTTCATATATTTTAAGCAATTCCCAATGCACCAAGCACATGAAATGTAGATTATGTAATCTCCTAAGGTGGATTTGCAGTAATTTTTATTTATCAAAGTATTAAACATTACTTTCCGACACTTTCCTTTACCTTTTTTATTTTCGAGTGACACTAGAAAGAAATGGAAACTTTAAATGCATTAGGCTGGAATATCATGTGTAAAATACCCCTGAGTATTGTCCATCTTCATCGGTGAAAAATAATTAAATTAAATTAAAATTTCTAACATTTAGTGTTTCGATAGCATAAAAAGAAAAATCTTAATTATGAAAAAATAATAATAATAATATTTTATAATCACCTAATTTTTTCATAAATCTTTCTCACAAAAATAATAATAATAATAATAATAATAATAATAATTTTTTTTTTTTTTGCTTTGTTGAGATACATACATGAAATTACAATTATACCATATGTATAATCCGTAGAATAAAATGTGTCAATGCATATATAACTTGTAATAATCTATATATCTCACTCCTTAATTATGTCCTACAAAAATATTTGTTCAATATAAATTTATTTAGACCTATTGCCTTGTTCAATAAAATAAGGAATGGAGAGCACACAATATTCTTTTTGAAGCCATTAAAGGCTTCCCTGAGCAGTGTTTGCTTTGCTATCTCTAAGCAAAAGTTCATTCTCTCTTAGTGCTTTTTTGTGACTAGTTGTCTTGCAGTGACTTACTTGGTTCGAGTAGGGAGACATTCTTCCAAATTCTCAGAAATTAATCGAGTTATTAAGGAATTGTAGAGTTCGTGCCCGGATACTCCAGATTAATAATAATAAAAAGGTTTATTCTCTCCATTAGTAAAAACTACTAGGCTTTTTCTGTTTTGGTTGAAGAAGTTTTGTTAGGGTTTATATCTATAGCATTATATACACGTATATATATTAGGGTTTTTTGATACGTGTATATAAACCCTATAGATACATGTACATAACCCTATTGTCTATCAAAAATTAAATAAATAGCAAAAATAAGAAAATTAGCCTATTAAGAAAAGAATTGTAACGAATTTGAATTCTTCCTCGCGTAGGTTACTACGGTATATACTTTTTCCTTAATTAATTAAAAATTAAAAGGAAAGTAAATAAAATAAAATAAGAAATCCAAACCTACCCTATTTAAGTAGTAAACCCCTATATATATGATAAACAAACCTCCAACCCAAAGGTTAAAAAAAAAAATAGAAACCCTAGAAGTTCTAGTATTCACCAACAGAGAAGAGAAGATGGACTTGTGCTTGAAGGTAGCAAATCAAGTCCTCCTGGAGGAAGCCAAAAGTAGTAATGGGTTGAAGAAGAACACTGCCTGCTCTCCATTCTCCCTCAACGCTTTGCTCAACATGGCGGTGGCGGGGTCGACGGGCACAACCTTGGAGCAATTTCTTGGCTTTCTTGGATCAGAAAGCGTGGAAGATCTCCACTCCAAGACTTCGACATTAATGGGACTTGCAGGATCTTCAGACGGTCTTCTTCTATCTACTGTTAATGGTGCTTGGGTGGATCAATCTTTTCCTCTCAAACCTTCTTATCAACATCTTGTTCAAACTCTTTACAAGGCTTTAGCCAAAACTGTTGATTTTCAACACAACGTAAGTCCTCTCATTCTACGAAACTCTTTTTTTTTTTCTTTTTTTTTTTTTTTGATAAAAAGGGTAAGCTTTGATAAATAAAAGAAGAATATACAAGAGGTCCATTAAGGACATTACAAGCCATAAGCTAAGACAACAAGTGTTGCCACAAGATCACCAAGGAGATAACTAAACAAAATACAACATGTATGCATTTTCTAATACATCACAACTGTTTTTCAAAGGTGCAAAATTGTTCCACTGAGCAATTCCAAATCTGCTTTCAATATCTCCATTCTCAACATCCATATATCAGCATAAAACCATCAAATCAATTAAGAACCAGGACTGACCATTTGCATATGAACAACCTTGAAGAAACAATTGGTGGAGAGCTTCAGGAGATCCAATCTTCCTAATTTCTGAACCAGATCTTAGTTTTAGGGATGCAAACCTTGCTCTGATGCAACCCTTGATTAGGTGGATGATGTGAAGAACTGAGGCTGTTTTGTTCCTGAATGCTCTTGCATTCCTCTCCTTCCAAATGAAGTAGATGGCACTTGAAAGAAGCAACTTGTGTGTAATAAAATAGTTCTGTGTCCATGTTGTTGAGCACCACGAAATCAGATCTCTTCAATTGTTAGGATTGATGTAGAAACCTGCAGCATGCTAAATGAAATTCCAAATGAGGCTGCTGTATGGACATTTGAAAAATAAGTTGTCCACAGATTCTTTAGCTGAGAGACAAAGGTAACAGGCATTGGTATAATGTTTCTTCTGCATTGGTTTGGTATCCAGTGTTGCTAATCTCTCCTTGAGGGCAAGCCAAGCTATAAAACCATGCTTTGGGATGTGGTGTTTGAACTATATGAGCTGATCCCACACAAATACCAGAGAAGGAGCTGCAAAGTAATCCATAGTGAGTCTGTGAGAGTAATCCCTTGTTGAGCTTGGAAGCTATTCCACATGATCTGGATCAGAGGTTGGGAAGGGCAGGCAAAGGAGCTGTGAATTGAGGTTTTGACTTTGGAAGAATGGGATATGGTGAAATGAGCTGGGGATGGTCCACTGATGGTTGAAAATTAGGCTATCAACTGTGATTTGGGGATCCAGTTGAAGAATTTCCACATCAGTGAAGCCAAGTTGGATTGTAATGGGACCATTAGGGAGCCAGTAGTCATTCCATAAGCTTATGCTTTGCCCGGTTCCAACTCTATGCCTAACCAAGCCTCTTGCCATACTCCTCAGTTTAAGCAGCCTTCTCCAAAACCCTAAACTATTGGAAGAAACTTTGACAGTCCAAATGGACTTGTTTTTAATGAGATACCTGTAGGTCCATGCCACCCAAAGACTATCCTGTCTACTACACAGTCTCCACAAGTGCTTGAGACTTGACACTCTATTTGTGAGCTCAAGGCAAGGAAATCCAAGGCCACCAAACCTTTTTGGCCTGCAAATGGCTGTCCAAGCAACCTTAGCTCCAGTCTTCTTGAGATCAGTTCTAGACCAAAAAAAACATCTCAGAATTTGATTGATTTGATCAATAACTTTCATGGGGAGGATGAAAGCTTGAGTCTTGTAAGCTTGGATGGAGAAGAGGATGGATTTAATGAGTAGTGCCCTTCCCGCTTAGGAGAGAAATCTTGAAGTCCATTGGCTAACTCTGGTTGTAATCTTCTGCACTAGAATCTAGCAATCATTGGCATTGAGGGCTGAGGATGAGAGTGGTAGCCCAAGGTATGTGATTGGTAGTTTACCAATCTCAAATTGCATTAAGGAGGCAATGGTGTTCCTTGTGTGATGATCAACACCTGCAAAGAATATTTGGCTCTTGGAACAATTGATGAAGAGCCCAGAGAAGGTCATGAAATTGCTCAGTGCTGAGTGAAGCACTCCCACAGAAGATAAGTCACCATAAGAGAACAACATAATGTCATCAGCAAATGCTAAATGGGATAAGGACAGTTTACTACATCTCCAATGGTACTTGAAACAATTACTTTGGGAGATGGCCATGTTAAGTGATGTGATACCCCCCGGATTTCTGAATACGGGTTGGCCAAGCCCACGCCCGAATACCCAAGGATATCAAAACAAATTAATGATAAACGAACACAGAGTACAAAAGAATAAAGAAGAATAAATAAAATGATGACAAGAAACTAAAATGATAATTTAATAATAAACCTCAGAATATATTTCCATTAGTTAATAAACTTTTCTGATACAACTGATCCTCCAAAATACAACTCGGGAATCCATACTGTGTGGACCCCTAGAAAATCCAAACTAAACAAATGACAGCAATAACTGTCTAAATCAGGAAACTGAATCCTAAAGGAACTCTTATGCAGCATCGGAAGAATGAAGTAGACTGATCCCTGCTCAGCACGAACAACCTCTACTCCTGACGAACACCTGAAAAATAAGGGTAGGTCAAGCCCACAAACAAGTTCTACTCTACTACAATCCAAGCAGAGATCCGATACACGTATACATCCTAGTCAATCCAACAGTAACTAGTAGTTCGTATATATATATATATATATACACACTAAAGGAATCTCACTAGACTATAGGGTTGTCTCAACCTGAATAGTAGGCAACATGCAAAACGCACATATAGTGGGTATGAATACCTAGACCTACCAGGGTACACAACTACACTATATCTAGTTACACATCCCTGGCGATATACACACCCTAACCACAGATTCTGAGACTCAAGCCCATATCATGACACCATACTTATATATATATAATCTAGTAACCATCCTATCGTGTATAAATTAATCCTCCATAAGTCATTCAACTTGTTCAGCTGACCTGACTTGAATATAAGTAGGACTCAACATTTTAGTTAATCCATTCCCTTATATAATAAATTAATCATCCATAAGTCATTCAACTTGTTCAGCTGACCTGACTTGAATATAAGTAGGACTTAACATTTTAGTTAATCCATTCTCTTATATAAAATAGGTAGGACTTAACTGATAAGTTAATCCGTTCCTAGAATGCCACCGTCCCATACCGGTGCATTAAATCACACAATTCAACAATTGATGTAACGATTAAGGAAATACATCAAACATTCCAGAAATAACTATGATAATATGATATCAAGTTATCACAAAATAGGAATGACTTATTATTTATTTAAGTTTCCTATATCATATGTCCTACATAAACTGAATCTTATACATATGATGATATTTTATTATACCGTCAAATAAGCATTCTCCATATCCAATTCATCCTACACATTTAATCTCAATTGCTAAAACATATTAAAAGAATAAATTCATTCATTTGTTTAAAACATTCAAATAGCAAACATCATTATGATTGAGTCTATTTAAATTTATTTAAACCCAAACCTAGTTTCTATTTAATGTTCAGGAATCCTAGACAAGTTTTTACGTTCCATCGTTCCACAGATATGAAAAATACATAATTTAAACATGTAAAAATTCACACCGGAAATCAAATCAAAATCATGCATTTATTAATTCATAATACAAGAACAGATATGAACCAAATTTATAAAACCTATGTTCTAATCCAATTAAACATGCATAATTATTTAATTTTATGTGTTTAATAAATCCTGGAATTTCCTACGCATGTACAGAAACATGAATCAAAGGAAAAGAGATAGAAGAATAACTTGCCTTAAACTTTCGAATCGAAAGTTAAACTTCTTCTTCCTTGATCTTCTCTCTACAGGGTTTTTTCCTCCTTCCTTCCTCTTTCTCCTTCTCTCTCTAACTCTTTCTCTATAGAATATATTACGTGATATATTTTCACTCCTTTTTCAACCTATAGTTGTGTATTTATAGGCTAAATAATAACCCTATTCCTTTTCCCAATCTAAATCAACTTAATAAAGAAAAATAAAAAATAAAAATATTAAAAAGGTAACTTAAAATATGTTACGTATATAATCTTTGTATATCCTTATTAATTAAATAAAATATATATATTAGATTATTTATTAATACTAAAGTTACCATAATATTAAAAGGTAACTTAAAACATGTTACGTATATAATCTATCTATATCCTCATTAAATAAATAAAATATATACATCAGATTATTTATTTATACTAAAGTTACCATAATATTAAAAAGTAACTTAAAACATGTTACGTATATAATCTATCTGTATCTTCATTAAATAAATAAAATATATACATCAGATTATTTATTTATATTAAAGTTACCATAATATTAAAAAGGTATCTTAAAACATGTTACGTATAAAATATATGTATATCCTTATTATATAAAATATATACATCAGATTATTTATTAATACTAAAGTTACTATAATATTAATAAATTACTTTCCTTTTTATATATATGTATATACATATATATCTATATATATACATATACAACTATCCATGGGTAATTATCCATACCCATCCAACCTCCTATCCAAGTAGTCCATGGGACCCAATTAGTTAGCCCATTACCACTAACCATAACCATAAAATAAAATAAAATAAAATATTTAATCATTTAATTTACAATTAATTACAATTAATCAAATACATCATTTAAGCACCCAATCTAATTAAACAAATAATACAAATAACACCTAGACAAAATACAAATAACACATACATAAGTAGCCAATTAATCAAGTAACACTTAATTCAATTAAACACATAAACAATTAGTCAAATAATCAATTAAACAATTAAAAAAATACAATAAAAATAAGTAAATAAATACCGAGGCTATCATTTTATAATTAGGGGTATTACATTCTTCCCCCCTAACAAAAGAAATTCCGTCCTCGGAATTCGCCCTTACTTCCTTCCATTATTCTTCCATTATGCTTGGAAACTGTGAGCGAAAAACATCCTCATATTCCCAAGTAGACGCAGCCTCACTATAAGGGCTTCACTTAACTCCAATATACCAAGTGGTATACAGGGTTCCTATATTTTAAGAAACACAATAATCATACGATGCGTAGGTTGCATCAACGTAATCCTCACATGTCGAC